ATTGGATTAACGCGTCGACGTGGTTACCGAACGGACACTACTATTTTAATCGTCTAACAAACATAAATTTATACTATCGAGTAAACGATAACACAATATTCGTATAGTGGTTCAGGTTATGGAGGTGGCACCCTCAGAAGATATACTGTTTCATATTATATATAGGTAGGTACCTATACTTTACGTGCTCGTAAAATTATATGATATTATCTAGATAAAATTTTATACCACATATTATTTTATGTAAAATCGTATATTATTATGTTAGTATTCCGTATTCAGTATTCAACAGTGCCTACAAAACTCTATATGTCGGTGGCTAATCACTTATTTAATATAGCTACGAACGATTATCTATACTTATACGAATTATACATAATATGGGTGCACATCTTGAGTCTGGGCCCTCGCTAATATTTGATTACTAGACCAGCCCCTGAATTTTTTGGTAATGCGACGATGATCACGATCTCGATATCAATAATAATAATAATAATAATAATAATAATGATAGCAATAGATATAACAAAAACAGTATAAATAATACAACGTATGTGACGCTACAGCAGAATCTTAACAATAATAGTATTACATATTATAATATATTAGGACGATACGAGTCACACTGTCAGTCTCGCCACTCGCTTGCAAAACAGCTGTGGCCATCGTCACCATCATTGTCGTGTTCCTCAGCTAGGGTTGATCAGMGGGCAACGTTTGGCTCAGACCACATCCGGATAGAAGTCAGTGTCTTGAAACACCGTCTGTGGTTCACCCGTCAGTCTGTCCACGGACGACGCCAGACACCTGTAAAGGCCCTTGTCCAGGGGCGTCACGTCGTGGAAATGCAACGTGCTGCCTTTGGGCCTCAGGTGCATGTCGTACGTCTGCACCTCGCCCATTCGCCTCATGGCCATCTCTTTGTCCGCTTTGCCCGGGTCCACTCGTTCCCAAACGATGTTCTGCAAACCGATAAATTCGAAATTATACACCTTAAACCTGCAGCACGATTACACGTCGTTATGAATAAGATATATAAGGTCTGAGAGGGAAGACAGTGCGTGACCAAACCACAATCTGTGCAGAAGAATCCAACCCTCATCGGATGAATAATATGATTTTGTAAACGAATTCGGTGTGTGAGCTTTTATATTTGATTTATGCAAGACACCATAGAGCAAAAATTTTAAGACTCAAAAGTCCATGAACAAATACGACGGGATTAAAGTGATGTGACCTTAACTGCACAATCTCCTTAAAACGTCATCTACACGTCGATTCCGACAAGTGTTGACGACTCGAAATTATGGGTCTTGTATATTATTTTCTCGGATAGGTCTAACACACATTTTAGACTTACCAACTTCCTAGTTCTGATCAATAATTATAGAAAATTTAATATAAACATAAATTAGGGCTGATTTCGAGATTACGAACGCTACTGGCGTAGTGACTATATTGTGTTCAATAATACTATAATGCTTGAGTACACAGACTTACTCGTATATTATACTGATTTATGGCAGATTCGATGGATCGCTATATTAAATAATATACACCGYGCACAACTGCGGCAACCCTATAATTAAACGATGAAGTTTCAATCGCGTACSTTKTTGGAAATTTTTGAATCTAATTTAACTCCGAAATTAAAATTTCAAATCGTTAGACGAGTTGTATAATTATATAGTACACTACCTGCACACTACCTATAAACACTCGAATTCGTGYTTTTCAGAAACGCGCTATCTGGTTAGCATGTTCTGCCCAAACATTATTATATATTATGTTTGTAACCCTTTCACTATGGCATAAAGTTTTAACAACAAATAAATAAATGTTCACGAATATTATAGATACACTTTTTAGATATCGAATATAAWCGAGGTGTCGTGATCGAATAATTAGGTAAAATTTTGTAAAGTTGTACCTAGGTTGTAGGTAAAAGTACATGGTACACTGGAAGTCGTATTGCAATGAAAAATCATATTATTTACAAACATTCCGATTGTACWAACTGACAAATAAAACAAAGATTAATATCACATTTAACCATACATTTTCCCGTAACAATTATATATATTCTGCACCTCTGATTTTACCAGAAGTTGGAAAATGTTTTATGTTATGATAACGAAATTCTTGTGAAAAGAATGTTTAATAAGTGAAACTATCTCCATGAGTATAATCATCTCATCTCRGATTTGACGGTGTAATATGTTAACTGTGAGGAATAATGTCTCGAAAGTTGTTGAAAATATGGCCATGCGGAATACACCTACATTTTGTATAGAATGTATTATACAGAGGTAATAATATTATGTGGGTTGATAATTTTAAAGTAAGATATTTATTTTTTTTTAAGACTATAATTTTTTTTGGAAATGTATTGTAGTATTGCGTGCCTAATTATTATAAATCGATAAGAAATGACGTGGTTGAAAAAAAAATTCTAGGATAAAAATTTCGAACCGACTATCATTAAATAGATAGCTATTTAAGTACTTACCCAGAAAATTATAATCATCTCGCCAGTTCTTATCGTTCTATCAGTTTACTACCTACTTTTGCAAAACTCTTCGAAAAACTAATTCTACATTGAATTACACAAACAATCAACAAACTGCATATTATATTACTAAAATCACAATTCAGTTCGCAAACACAACTCAATTCACCAAATCCATAGAATCATCGACAATATCTCAGCCTTTTTTAAGACCAAGCAATACTGCCCAGGGATATTTCTAGATATATCTCAGGCTTTTGAACGTGTTTGGCATGATGGACTTCTATTTAAACTAAAACATTTTCTTCCTTCGCCGTATTACTTAATCATCAAATCACATCTTGAATATCGGTCGTTTTCCGTACTAAAAATGTTTCCCGACTTTTTCTACTTCGACTTTTATTTAAATCAAATTTGAGTCTAAAAAACAAACTACTCCTATACAAAGTAATAATTAAGCCATTATGTTCATACGGCATCCACATTTGGGGCCCACCAAAACCCGCAAATATTCGCCCTAAACAAGCCTTCCAGATAATTAACCTAAGACTTATCACCGGTGTTCCATGGTAAATAACAAATGYAGCTCTCTATAATGACCTATAAATATAATCAGTAAACGAGCTTGCAAAAAGCAACTTCAAAATTTTTCATTCAAAATTGACAAACTACATAAACCCTTCATTCAAAATATGTCTTCTCTTACATTACCCCAAATTCACCGTCGATTAAAAAAAAACGGGTTTCGAGATCTCCTAAAATAGGGGAAAAAATAAAAATGTCTGAGGTTCTGTTAATTAACGGTCTCCTCTTCACGTTATTCATGTTTATATATCTCTATGTTATCCTTATTACTTATTGTTTTTCATTGTAAACAGATTGAATATATTTAAATTAAAAAAAATTTTTAAAAAATCCAGTAGTTTCATAACATATACAAGAGTGCAATAGTGGAGAAGCATTCATCACTGATACCTCGCAATACGTTGGCTTACTTAACTCCACTTTTCAAAACTTTAAATTTATATCTATAGTTAATTAGTAACTCGTACGAAGTATTAAATACTCCAAAAAAATATTCTATTATGGTATAAYATAAAATACAAAATATACCTACGTTTTCAATAAGAAAAAAAAACTATATAAAATCAATTGCTATAATTTTAAAACTTTTTTTATAATATTGGGATGTTATATAAAAATAATATTTTCAAAAATGTTAATACATTTGTAAATAATGAGTTTTACGTTTAAATAATCATCCGGTATTATAATATTTGCATAATAATGTTGTGCTCCAACCACAAAAAAAACATTTATCGCGTCCTATCTATAACTGCATTGTATTTACACGCAAACGATACAATTTATTTTTTTAAACGATATATTTTTTTAAGCGATATTTTTTTTCACATTTAACTCAGAGTTGTAACAAGGAATTATTCAATCAACTAATAAAAATATCTAAATAAAATAGAATTGGAGTTTTTTTTTTATTATGATTCCGAAAATTTTTTTTTCGTGATAGTTTTTTTTCTTTGTAACTTATAGATGATATTATTATATTATTAATATAACATTCTTATAAATTAT